GCTTACCTAATATATTTATATATATGGTCTGGGCATGCTGCGTGTACTTACACGTTTACGTCAAAGTGTTTATCTTCCAGATTTATTTCTATTCATGTATAACTAATTATTTATAAATATACTATCCCTATTTATGTATGGTAGTATTATTCGATATTTGATGAACGAATATATATTTTTAGATTTTGTGGTAACTAATAAAATATCCTTGTATTTTTATTTGGTTTTACAACATAAAAAATTCAAATATTTCAAATATCTTTTAAACAGGAAATAGTTGATCTACTATTCAGACTTAAGAGGGTATTATAAATCAGACCGGTATATAACAACGGACGTAATATAGATCTCTATGATATACTCTTAATATTTTAGTTAATAAATCTGTTGTTTTGTTTTCTAAACTAGAATGATAAACAGTAGAAAAGTCTACAAATTTATTCACCAATTTTTATAGATCTTTTAACTCCGTTAAAATATAAACAAATTGAAATATTTACATATAGTTGAATAATATATTACTAATAAATTATCCAAAATAATGTGCACACTTTAACCCAAAATCAAAAAGGTAGTGCGCCACGAGACCATGCGGATCTGCTATGTATATAAGAAAACGAATGAAATAACAAACAAGTTAAGGGTCTAGACATATGTCTTTAGTCTACATGTAAATTTTCCTTTCTTAAACTTTATTAGCTGGATAATAGTTACACATCATTAAAAACGATTATGTCACATGTAAAACAACCACCAAATATTAAAAAACAATGAACTACTGATATGAATATTTGGTTCTCAACTTTTTGTAATCAGATCGTTTAGATATCCGTATAAATATTCTTCTTATAAGTGTTCCATCGATGCAGAACGCGACCATATCCATCGTAAAAAACTACACACAGTTCTGCTTCCGATAGATAAACCGACATGAATCCTTGTCCATCGTAGTAAAATCTCATCTCTTGCGGGTTCCACTCATTCACATCCCCTTTCCACGCCTTGGACCCACCGCCACTTGTCATAAATTGTATTCCACTAGACACAAAACATGCGTACCGTTTTGTTTTTAACCCTCATACGTTACACTTAGAATCCACAATTAATAGATGAGTTGATTAATACAAAGTTTGAGTCACCTGTTAATGCTGCTTATGTGCTCCAAGCAATGATCATGCCCGTTTATGTAGAGATCCACTTCATTTGCCTAATTTTCAAGAAAACAAAGTAATCGTTTTTCACTTTTAATATTACACAATTTGATTTTATGATAGTAAATACTACCTCAAGGATAGGTAAAAGTTGTTCCTCAAGCTCCTTCGTGATACCGTGATGACCTGCACTTTTGATTGTGTGGTGACCTACCACTATTTTCCATTTCGCCACAGATTCTTGAAAGGCCACATCGAGATCCTATAATTTTATATATCTTCGACACAGTGATTATTTTTATCAACTTTTAATAATAAAGACTTTTAAATAAGCTAATAACGTAGAAATATGGACGGTGAGTACTATTTCAATTTGGACCGTCAAAATGCTAGCTTGTGAGAGAGTACAAAATTAACTACCGTTAAGAGATTGTTAAGATACTTGTTTCTTGGTAATACGCCGTTCCAATCATAAACATGATCCTTTGGTTCATCAAAATATTTATCTACGAATGGTGTTGTGTCAACGAAGAAAATATCGACGATATCTACAAAAAAAAAAAAAGATTGTTTGAAGTAATTATTATATATGTCAAAAAGAAAATGATATTTAGTTTCTGTTGTTGAGTTAATTACCAGCGTTAACAACGTAAGATCTTAAACACACCCATCGACAGTCCAGATCCTTCAGTATCGGGCTGAGTTGTGCATCAACGTTACCTCTATAATCATGATTTCCTAATACTGGTGATAGATAGAAAAAAAAAAAGAGTAAGAAAAAAGTAAATATAAAAACCTCGTTATAAAAAAAGTGTAAATATGAATGTTATATAGTTTTTTAAAACAAAAAAAAGAAACTATATATAGTTCAATTAATTTTGTCTTATTTTCAGTTGGAAAAGATAACATACATACCATTATACCATGGCTTTTGTAAGCTAGGTGCTGTATAAATATTGGTAAAAGAATCTCGAAATTGAGAATCATGTGCACTTGTAATTCCGTCATCGTAAAAGTTATCTCCAGTCGAAATGACGAAATCGATATTTAAATCCTTTCCTGTTTTTCCCATCTGAACAGAAAGTATTATAGTGGTCAATGTAATTAGTAAAGTAACTAAAAAGAATATATATAATATGAAAATAATAAAAACATAGATGCCGTATACTAGTTGAAATAGAAGATGCAACGCATATAATTTAAGATTATTAATTAGCCCCCGCAACATTTTATTTTTATGCAGTTTTAATAGGAAGTCCATTAACACACACAAAAGAAAAGTAACGTAAATAACAAAGGATATTTATAAACATCGTTCACCCCTCCACTTAAAACTATTATTTAGACATCTAATTTAAAAATATTAGATCTAATTACGTTTCGCACGCAATAGTCAGTTTATTAATTGTGATTATTATGGGTTACTTCAATATAGCCTAATCAGTAATTTACTCAAGAATGCATTCGACGTCAAGAAAACACAATATTACACGCTTTTCGTTTATTATATGTTTTATCTAATTTTCGTCTTCTCTTCTAATTCTTCTCATATCAATTCTAACCAGTAACCACGCAGTATCAAAGAATTTGAAATGAGCCAAATGACAAACATAGAAGGAAATATTGATTCTGGATAAGGCATATATATACACGTCTACACATTTACATATGTTTACGTACCTGAAGAGCTACTTGAGACTGATTGTAAGAACCTCTTCTTCCCCAGTCGCCGACAACGAGAAAACTGAGTGTACCATCGGATTTTGGTGGTTGGACCAACCGTCGTAGCTCCGCCGTGGAGTTATGGACGGATAATAAAATGATCAAACAAAAAACAGAAGATGAGAATTTTATGGGCTTATCTCTCAGGGTATCCATTGAGAGACAAGCTAGGGAATGGTGGTGGATTTTTGTGTTGGCGTGGCTTTGTGTATTTATAGGACTTATATGGACAATAAATATTTTAAATTGATCACTGTAATGATTGTGAAGTTTGTACCTCATAAACTATAAGTTTGGTATTTAAGAAAATTATAGGATGTAGTAGTCACTAGCTAAAAACGTTTATCAAATCATTTATTAATTATCACTCACTTTTTATATCAAAAAGATAAAAACCATCATGCTGTGAACAAAGCTCAAAATAAAAAGGTCACAAGTTTTTTTTTTTTTTACTGAACTTTAAAGTGGTCACAAGTTATATATTTTGTTTCTTTGTATGTTCATCAAAACTTTATCATCATTCACCGCAAGATGTAATAGTCACAAGTTATGTCTCTCATCGTCTGGACTATTCCTAATATCTTTTTTCAAAAATTACATATAATGACTTTCCCTCAATTGTTTAAATTTTTCATATAAAACTGTCATAATTCTTTGTAAATTAATATTTAGAATAATATCCACATATAGTTTTCTTTTATTGATATGATTTCATATAAAGCCAATTAAAAGACATCATGGTTGAAAATTAGGACGTAAGTATGTTATTTTATTTTTGGGTCAAATACGTAAGTATTATTTATTTAGTTAGCCATGTATTAAAAATGGAGTTTAGGAAATTACGTGAAACATTTCAAGTTTAAACACGTACGTAACCGAAAAGGAGCGGTGGACAGGATTGGACGTATATGAATATGTTCCACACATCGGTGACTTGGCGTATGCTAAGTTGGTCTATATACCAGTACAAACAGGATTAACTACATTTGAGAAGAATCGTTACACTTTCGATGGATACATGAGATATTTTTGGGATCTGAAGAGTGGTATATGGAAATATTGTAACGAGTGACTTTTTTTTTTGTTCATCATGGGATTTAAATAGTTATATAAAATCAAGATATATTTAAAAAAAAAAAAAATCAAGATATTAAGGTATCATGTTTGCATCTCCACCATACGACCCAAGCGGAATCTTGCGTCGACCCATACCACACCATTGTTGTCATGATATTCAATTATTGATCTTGTTTTTTTTTGTTCATGTGTTTTCTTTCTATCTTAATAAAATCCAGCTAGACATCAATACAAAAATAATAATCCAAAAGTCATGTGAGAGTCCATGCAAACATCCAAATTTTCAACTATTTGAAGATCCTATACCTATACATAGATTAGGATCCGCGCAGTGATACCCAAATTAGTGATAGGCAAATAAAAATAAAACATTAAATCTATAAGATTTATGATATATAATTATGATATGTATACAAGTTAAATTGTGATTTAAAAGTTTTAACAAGACATTTTAGAAAAACAGGTTAATATTTTTTTTTAAAGTACATTAAAATATATTTCGTAGAATCAACTATTTTATTTTATTAAAAGTATTTTTACATGTGTGAATATAGACCATATACATTTTGTATAGTATAATTTCAAATTCTCTCACGTATTAGTTTTTCTAATGAAAAACTCGCTCTTCATTTTTTCTATTGACCATCGATTTTGTGGCAGTCAACTATATGCATCCAATGTTCGTTTAGGGTTTAACTGGTTTTCCCGCTACATTCACAAATATAATTTTTGCAGTTGGTAACGGTTGTTAATGTTTTGTAATAATCATAGAAAATACTATAAATCGTTTTAAACTATTTTAAACCTATAAAATTTAAAATTGATTTCAACTAGCGTTTACGGTATGTACATCTAAGGAAGAATAAAACTCACGATCACTGGAAATAAAACCATCCATCGGGTCAGCTAATGGGCCGCGGCCTACATCTAAGGTTCTTATCGAAAGCATTGATATATAAAAAAAAAACAAAAAGTTTTCAGGACTACGAGTTTCGGCGCCATTAAAGACGTTCAAAAGTTTAATCTGAGAGCCTCTAAAATCAACGAGAGATGTCTACAGAGATCGCTCATCTGCGACGGAGATTAGTCGAGTTCCTGATTCAGTGTACTACTGTAAGTTAAATTCTTCTTCTCGATCGATACCTATTAGGTCTACACTTCGTCTCTCTCGATTTTGATTTTGTTGTGGATCTGATTTTGAACCATGAAAAGCAACTCGAACTTCCTCCGATCGTTAAATACTCAGCACTATCTCTCTTCTTCGATCGGTTTCGTCCGTCTGTTGTCAGGTATATTGCGATTTTCACGATTTGAGTTTTTTTAGTGATTTCGATTGATGTTTAGAGTCTAATGACGAAATCGGTAAACAATCTAGGTCTAATTGCTCGTTCTATTGACTTATCTTTGGTATAGTTGCGATTCATATACTCTAGATTTGGATTAATGATCCACGGCTCGGTCTTGAGGTTTTTGAGGCTTGGAAGCAGTTACGTATTGAGAGCTAAATGATCAATACACATATTTTTTTTTGTCTTTAATCAATTTCGGGATTCGAATGGGGAAAATGATCAATCACGACGGTTGTGAGATCTCTAGTTCTGCATTTGGGGGTTTAAGTCACGTTATATGATTTACCTAGGTTTAATTTTTAGAGTATCATGTCATGTTTGTGATTCATTCTTATATGGATGTCTCTTTGAAGCTTCTTGATCCCTTGGTAATGTAGGTTCTTGCAGAAGAAGAAGAAAGCAGAACATTGGCTATTGCAGCCGTTGACTGAAAGCAATTTGCAGCTATTTGTGTTGATCTCTATATGGATCTCGTGCAAAGTGTGTAGTGTTTGTGTGGGTGTGTTGTTTCTCTTCTGTTGAATGTGACTAGAGCTGAATTGTTGCTTCTACAGATGCACTGTTCCAGAGGTTTATCGGTTCAGTGTCTGAAATCTTTGGGTGATAAGATGATCACAGAGCAGCTCTTCACGGTTCGGGATTTCATGGAAGCAGTAAGCTATTCTCGAAAAGATTGAAGTTATGACTTATATGATTTGATTCTTTTCATTGAATTATGAGGTTTTTTTTGCAGGAACTAGTTTTCCTGAAGGTAAACATTATACACTTGGGGATGTTATTTACACAATAAAAGTTCTATCGAACTTATTGTATGTCATGGGAAGCAGGTTACGAAATTTGAGATTGGCACTTTAAATATAGCTTATACAGTGCTTGATGACCTTCTTATCCAGTTCAAGTAAGTTGTTTCATCCTTATTATCTGACTCTAAGCTAAAAATATTTATTTCATGTTCTTAGTATCTAACTTCTAGCCATACTGTCTTCTACTAGAGAAGTTGCAAAGGCTGGAGAACTTTTGAACTTTGAGGCATGTATGGATATGATGGATCTTTTGTACGAGAAGGAGGAGACATCAGTTCTTTATCATTCTTCCACATCTCTGGCTGCTTCCATTTTGGTTACTTAGTTGCTCTCTTTATTCCTAAATTTATGATTATATCCACGAATAAACATCAAAACTTGAAATGAAATTGTTTCTTCTCTTGACTACAGGTCTCTTCTTACATAATAACCGTGCCTAAACAGCAGTGGGAGTTCCCTATTCTCCCATGGGGTAAGCATTCACCTTTCTGCTATTTCAATCAAAAGTATTTGATATCTACTCTTATTGATGATAGGTTTACATAAATCAAGTCACAGAATATTGAATAAGTTAGAAACATGTTAGAGCATATAGGATCAGTAAGTCCCAAATGTTCACCTTTTTGACTACTATGCATTTCAGCCTCATCAAAAGAAGAAGACATTGTTGTTCCCACTTCAAGTCTTCTTCATCTTTCCCTTTAGACCCGGACACTGTAATGATGTTCCTCAACTTAATAGTTTTAATTATGATTATGAGCCATCAAGGTTGACTTACTAAACTCTGCCCACCGGCCATATATGGTTTACGGACCAGTCAAATCTTTGTGTGGCCCTTCAAATTTTGCTAAACCTAACATATCTCTCGTCTGGGCCACTCAAATATTGTACCGGGCCGTATAAACTATCGATATAGAGACAGTAATAGTAGAAGTCACTAGTCAAGCGTCACCAATTCCTTTTTCCCATTGAAAAAACAAACCACGTTTTCATGGAGTTATAGCTGTAATACACTCACACACAAGAAAGAAGGAAGAAAATTCTTTCTTTTTAAATCATAGGGTCCCTCTCCAAAATTTATTCTTCTTCATTTATGGAGTCTACACTGCATTGTCTGAAATTTTCTCTCTCTATGAACCCTTTCTCAGTTTCCACATTTCATGGTAACGAGCATGATTTTTTTCAACAATACCAGATTTTAGAAGAGATGATTTATGTCTTAATCTTCCACCTACACATTTTTATATACACATGTACATGTAGATAGATCCATGTGGCCTGAGCCTTTACTATAAAGTTAAAAATGTTAGGCCTATCTTATTTGTAGGGACCATTGTAGAAACTAGAAAGAAGTAGAATGAGGTTTCCAAAAGGTTAAAAGAGGGTAGGCACTAGACATAGTTTCATTCTGCTTCTGCGTTACATGACTCTGTTATATGTATTTGATGACTATAATTGATAAGACTACAGAAATTTAAGACTTGCAGGCAATGATGATCGTAATTGTTGTAAGGGATATATAATTTCTTCGTTTATTAATATTATTACAAGACCCTACTTGGACTTACCAGTTTGTTTGTTTTTTGGCAGTTAAAATGGTGACAAATAAGGAAGAAAGGGAGGTGGTGGAGCTTGTTGGATACATACTTTCCCATGTCCTTTACTCTCACCCTTCGTAACACCTTAAAACCCTACAGGTACACGCACTCTAGTTCCTTCTTATCTACTTCTCTCGTTAAGCACATTAAAATAAATATATAATGTGTATATATCAAGTTATAAGGACATGTAGGGTCTATATATACACATATATCTGCATCATATAAGCGTTGTCCTACTTTTAAAATTTAATTTTCTTTAACGATTCGACATATCAGGCATGTGAGTTACTACGTATCCACTTTAATCCCTCTAAAATAATTATTTTCACCTGCATAAAATGTGCTAATGTATTATAACTTCTATACCTTAGTTAGGGGTGGGCACGAATAATTTTCAGTACTTATGATTTTTTTGGTATATTTAATTTTTCAATGCGTTATGATTCAGATGAATATGGATATTTGGCTTTCCACATATCTAAAAAGTTTTTGGATATTTTCGAATATTTACGAATATTTTATTTACTTTGCTTAACACATGTAAATGTAAAAAACAACAAAAAATAATATAAATTTGTTTTCCGAACTAGCTTTAACATAATATAAAATTTAAAAAAAAAACATAGTGAAATTGTATATTTTATAAATTTTTAAAATTAATCAATTTTTTTTTAATTAAACACACATAATTAAAAAATTATAGTTTTTATAAATATGTGATATTTCTTTCTTAATTTAATAACTTAAGTAATTTTATATATAAAATTAATAAAATGATATGTTAAAATAATAAGTCTATAAATTATACATTTAAAATTCTATATTTAATTATATATACTTCTATTTGTATAAAAGTCAAAGCGGATCAGATATCTAACTCTAATTTTTTTAGTATTTGTAAATTGTTTTGTTTTTAACGGATATTAAATTTTAGAATTTGCTTTGATTCATTAACTTAGGATATATATATCCAGATTTTTTGGTTAGACAAATTAAGGATAAAATATCAAAGCCCTATTGGTGGTGGTATTGTAACTCGCAACATGTCCTTACTGCACCACATTAGGTTTTGTCTTCTCCAAATATCCTCGAATAATTAGTAGTATCACTACTATAAAACTGTTAAGTCTCATCAATATAAAGGACACATAACTAATGATGACAAACGAAAGGACAAAAAAATGTGAAAATAAAGGGAGAGTGATTTCACTTGGCATGTATAGATTTTTGTTTGTGAGCTTTCTCATGAAGAATTCTAATAATGTGACTATGACGCAATAGTGAGCTATGATACACACTTTGATTAAAGTAACTATTTGACCTTTCTAGTTTTGAAATTTTTTGAATTTAGGGTTTATTGATTGTCGAAAAACCATTAATTTAGGATCGTTGAGTTGTGAATTGGGTGTGCCACATTGCTTAACAAATCTAACCACTAGATAAGTATATGATTAGACGCTTAAACCTAGTGGCATCCTGAGGGGTTTAGCACTATATTATAGCGATTTAATACCCCTTATAAAGTGTTAAATCTCATAATCAGTTCTAATTATTCTTAATGCTTCTGTTTCATGATGATATAATTATTTTGTATAATGAATACTGTGACTAACTAATCAACTACATTTCTTCTTTGTATGATTACTTTTAAAGTGATAATGTGTATTCATAATCGTATCACGACTGTATCCAGCACGACGTTGACTTTTTATATTCAGTCTCTCACACATGCAGTATTAAATTGGGCGATACAGAAGAAGAAAACAAATGTTCTAGTAAAGGTTTTTGACGTGTTTTATCTTTTTGTTATTAAGTAATGCTTTAAGAAATAAGAATACACAGATGCTTAACTACTCCAATGGCTATTAAATAATATACTTGGTGATAGAAAAGAATGCTTCGTGAAATTTATTTACACTTTTGCGAAGGTATAATATATATAGATATATTCAATTTGCTAAAGCAATATAATATATACATACATAATGATATGCGGTTTGATTAGTTGGTAGGAAGAGCAATAATAATGTTTGGATAGGAATGGGATACTAACAAAAGTTGCTGATTAAAATTCTAAAAAAGAGATTTCTACTTTCTTGATGAAACTCGTGGTGGAGAAGAGCGGCAATGAGCACCCACCCTTTTGATTAGACCTGATTAGCATTTTCTTGTTATCAAGGGGGTACGTATAATATCATTATCATCTTTAATTAAGCAGAGTTCATAGTAACAATAAAAGACTTGTTTTCATCATTTATAGCAAACTAGTATATTTTTCTTCTCATGATAATGGTTTGGTCGTTTCGTAGCATTTTGAATTGTTTGGTTGTTACAAGTTTTTATGCAAATTACAGTATAATATTGACAAGTAACAACAAATTTCTGACTATTTAGTTAGGTGGTAGACCCTATCTGGCTATCCAAAGTATACTGTCTAAACAAATTTTTAAACATTGCTTATATGCATGCAATATTATAACATGTAGTGTTCATTAATTTATAAGTTTTCTACCTACTCTGCCAAAGGAATTACCAAATTTCTTTTATAAAAAAATCTTTTATAAACATATATAGGTAAAAAATCATATATGGAAATCAAAATCTTATCGTAAAGAATAGACTTCACCGTCAAAACACAGCTACTTATGTCAGTGACGCTTCTTCTATCACCACTACACGACATAAATTCTAACTCACTCTTCACGTAACTCGCGTGACTCTCACTCTTCAGTTTTAATTGGAGTAGAGTCTCCACGCGCAACTATATTCTCACGCGCTCATCGTCTGGCGCCACTCATCCGCTCCGTACCCGTCGTCGGTCTTTTCGCCAATCTAACGTATTTTGCCGCGAAAGAGAATAGTATATTATAGATATAACATTAATAAATAAATGAATAATATCGAATAATGTAAATTCGATTAAAAAGAAGGTCATTATTGTTGTTTTCTATCTTTCTCTCTGTTCATTCCCTTTTTGAGCTTAATTGTTATCTTTGTTCTCTATTTTGCTTATGTGCATTGGTTTTTCTTTCTCCTGGAAAGTAATAAGTGCTCTGTGTAGTTAATAATGTTTGTCTCATCTTGAAGCTTCAGATCTGGTTCTTGTCTCTGCAAAGTAATTCTTTCTGTTTTTTTCTTCATCTGAGCATCAATTTTTGTGAAACCAAAAAGCTCTTTGTTTCCTTCAAGATCCTGAAAATCTGGTGAAAAAATGCTGGAAGTTGGAAGCCCCAATGCCCTCTTTTTCCAAACAAACACTACTTGTAATAATCTTCTCCGAGAGCTTCAGGTTCTTTCTTCTTCCTCTTTATCCTTTCTGTGAATTTTTATTTTTTTTGGATTTTCTTGATGATGACGGTTTATGGAAAAGAATGTCACTGTTTGTTTTACTTTCAAAGGGGTCAAGTATGAATCTTTTGGTCATAATGAGTTTTCAGTAGAGACAATTTAACTGAACTAGCCTTTTAGTTTTCATCATCTTTTCTTCTCTAGGTCAAAGGGTTCCTGTGAATTTTGACTAAACATGCCTCTTTGTTTCTTTAATTTGTAGTCACTCACTATCCCGGTTTTATCGCAATTTTCTAGAATTTTCATTACTATTTTTTGGTCTACATATAACTGTTGATGTCTTTATTTTAAGAGTTCTTGTACTAAAAATCTATATGTTAGTTTTCTTGCATAGAGGCTAATTTCATGAGTTAAAAATGGCTTTTTGGATGTATGAAACAGAAAATATGGGTTGAAATTGGTGAGAGTGAGGCTGAGAAAGACAGGATGCTGATGGAACTGGAGAAGGAATGCCTTCAAATTTATCAAAGAAAAGTTGACGAGGCTGCAAATTCTAAGGCACGGCTATATCAGTCTGTTGCAGCTATGGAAGCTGAAGTTGCTTCTTTTATGGCTGCTCTTGGAATCTTAAACATCAACTCACCGGTACCATACCAGCTATCGTCACGATAAATTTAGATTGTCCTTCCAACTATATATAGCTTATTCTAATTGATCTTTGTGTGTGTGTTTTTTTTTAATACCCAGCTAAAAGTTGATAAAAGCTCAAAATCATTGAAAGAAAAGCTTGCAGCTGTGACCCCTCTTGTTGAGGACTTGAGGATTCAGAAAGAGGAGAGGATGAAGCAGTTTTCTGACATAAATGCCCAAATCGAGAAGATCAGTGGAGAGATATCAGGATATAGTGATCATGTCAATAAGGGCATGATCAGTTCCTTGACTCTCGAAGAACAAGACCTGACTCTCAGAAAACTTAACGAGTATCAAACACATCTCCGCACGCTTCAAAAGGAAAAGGTGAACGCTTTTATCACATATTCATAATACTAATGAACAACAAAACCTCCATCAAGTTTCTTACAAACCTTCTTATGTTTTTTTTTCATGCAGTCTGATCGCCTCAACAAAGTCTTGGGCTATGTCAACGAGGTGCACACACTTTGCGGTGTTCTAGGAGTTGACTTTAGTCAAACGGTTTGTGAGGTTCATCCGAGCTTGCATAGGACAGACCACGAGCAGTCGACAAACATTAGTGATAGCACACTGGAGGGACTAGACAACATGATTCAAAAGCTAAAAACCGAAAGAAGAGCCCGATTTCAAAAGGTAGCTTCTGCTTATAGACATCTTTACACTATATTATTATGTTTCATATTCCTAAATTGTTTTCTCATTTATGAGTTTTGAATCATACTTCCAGCTGAAAGATGTAGTGGCTTCGCTTTTCGAGCTATGGAATCTAATGGACACACCACAAGAAGAGAGAACTAAATTTGGAAGAGTTACATATGTTGTAAGATCATCTGAATCTAACATCACTGAGCCAGGCATCCTTTCCGCCGAGACAATTGAACAGGTTTTGTTGAAGTTGTTCTGTTATTCCACATTAATGTCTTGAATCTCATTCTTAAGTCTTTGTTTTTGCTATGACAATAGGTGTCTGCGGAAGTGGACTGTCTGAGTAAACTGAAAGCTAGCAAAATGAAGGAACTTGTGATGAAACGAAGGTCCGAGTTAGAGGATCTTTGCAGACTAACTCACATTCAACCTGATACAAGCACTTCAGCTGA